CAAAAAAAAAACAGGGATGAAATGATTCCTTTTTCCTTCTTTCTGTGTCAGGGAGTTTTCATCAATTTGTGTGTCCTTGTCATCAAAATCCCAAATATTGGGATCAAACCTGAGTTATCCACCTGAATTGTTGCTTATTTTTCCATAAAAAAATAAAATAAATGGCATAAATTTAATTGTGTCAATCTAGGGATCAAACCCAGGTTATCCACCTAATTTTCCATAAAAATGGAATTAGGTGGAACAAAAATCACTCTAAATCTTTGTGAGAGTGGAAAAAAACCAAGAGGGAACTTGAGAGGAGACAGTTAAGCAGTAAGGAAAACAGGAAATAACCTGAATTATTTTTGTATTTATTATACCTTTCAAGTGGTATTTACCACAAAAAAACAAAACTGCAAAATCAAAACCAAAATCCCGAATGTTTCTGCTTTCCCAGCTCAGTTTAATTACAAAAAACCAATGGAATTTTGCTAAAAAACCACTTAAAAATAATAATAATGAGAAGATTAATGAATTTCAAGGGATAATGGGTAAAATATCCAGGAAAAGGACCTTAAATCCTTTTCCAGGATCATAAATTCCAGGTAAAAAACCAGAATGTACCTTCACATCTTCATCCAATTTCATGATTTTCTTAATCCGAGCCAAGGGCAGCTCCTGAACTCTGAAGTCTTTCTGCAGAGAGATTTCAGAGACTTTTTACTGATATTTAACTGCAAATAAAGGTAAAAAAAAAGTTAAAATAATCAGTGTTTTCTCAAATTGAAGGCTGGAAAGTTTATTTTTTGTGTTTTATTATTGATTTAGTTCTTCTGTCAGATATTTATATTCATTATTTCACTTCCAAGCTGAAGTTTTCCTGAAGAACAGAATGTTTCTGATGTCACCCATTTATCCATCTATTTATATTTGAAATAAATAATTCAATTCTGTTTCCTGGGCCCCAGAAACCATTCAAATTTATAAAAAAAAAAAATCACAGGAGAAAATAAAGATAAACAAGAGTTGGATGAAATCCTGGCTTTATTTGTACTTCTCTGCCACCAAATCCCAATTTTGGTGTTAAAAACCTTGCAGGAACCTGGTTTAAAAGATCAGTTTGATGTTTTTAGGTGGATTTTTTTTCCTTTTTTTCCAGTCAGGAATGGTGGTTTAGGAACCTGGATTATCCCTCTGATTCATCGCTGAGGCCAAATTTGCACCCAGAAATTCCCTGGAGAGAATTCCTGGGCTCAGGAAATCTCCAAGAGGCTTCTCCCTTCCCTGAAGACAAAAAGTGGAATTTAAATAAATAAATTAATTCAGTATATTCCCGCCCTTGTTCCCACACCTCTTGTGGGGATGGAAAAATATTGAAGTTGTTTAGTCCAGTCGTTGTTCGCAACCTAGATGGGATTTATTAAATCAAATATCTTTAATTTAATAATGCACCTGATAAGAAACTTGGCATTTGAGTGATTTCAACATTTCAGGGCTGTCAAAGGAGGTGGTTCCGGACTAGGGCAGGAGCCTAAACTCAAATTCATTCACAAAATTGGAATTAACAGGGAATTTAGGGAGGAAGGAAAAGTCTGAGCTGGATTTTGCCAGTAAAATCTTGCTCA